TGCCCTCTCTCATCCCATCACCCTGCTATCCTGAGGTGATCACTGCCAGCATTTGGTGTTTATCACTTCCAGACACGTTTCCACACTTTTACTATACATGGCTGTATACGCAATATGTAATGTTATTTTGCATATCTGGAAATTTTATTCAAATGGTATGTTGTACTTGTCCTTCAGCAACTTCCTTTTATCCACTCATACGATAGATATTTGGATCTTCCCATATTGATCCAATGTGTCCAAGTACCCAAGTATCTTTATTCTGGTTTTTAACAGTGGAGCTTGTTGCCAATTTGATCAGTGCTACGAAGAATGTTTTCATACGTGAGAGTTTCTCTAGGATGAGGTGCAGGAGGTGAATTTCTGGACCTCAGGATTGGGTTTCTTTACTTGGATGAGAAATTGGCAAATTGCTCACTACTGACACTTCAGTTGGGAGAGGCTGCTGGGTGTTTGTGTTTCCTCTGTGAGTCTGCCTGATCATATCCTTTGCCCATTTTCCTACTGCATTGTTTACCCTTTTTTTTTTTTTTTTAAAGATCAATTTGAAGGAGTTATTTATTCTTGATACAAATTCTTTTTCCGTTATATTTGTGGAAAATACCTTAGATTAGTCTGTGGCTTTCCCCTCTCTTCAGAAGAATGTTTTGTTGTACAGAAGTTTACAACTGTAATGTAGTTATTTGGGCTAAATGACTAATAAGATCATTACATTTAATAATCATTTCCATTACGGTTTGTACTTTTTGTATCTTGCCTATAAAATTTTGTAGAGCCTGAGGTAATAAAGATATGCTAAATATTTTCTATAAGTTTTATTTTTATTTTTAATATTTAGATCTTTACTCCATAGGAATTGGTTTTTGTGTGTGGTATGAAATAGAGATGCCATTATATATTTTTCATATGGATAAACAATTGGCCCAGCACCATTTATTAAGTATGACATCCTTTCTTTTTTTGTTTTGTTTTGTTCTTATTTTATTTTTTATTTTTTTCTTGACATCCTTTCTTGACTGATATGCAATGCCATTGCCTTTGTACATTTTCAAATATACATAGATCTATTTCTAGATTCTCTATACTGTCCCACTTACCCATCTCCAGTAGCCACATTTAGAAAGAATTTTTTTTTTTTAAATTTTGGTATTTTATACCAAAATAAAAGGCTTAATTTTTTAAAAGTCCCAAAAAGAAACTGTTGAAATTATTAATATACTAGGGGCCCCGTGCATGAATTTGTGCACCTTGGAAGAAACTGTGAGTCACAAGGCTGTAGTAGGCACAGAGGCAAGTCTCAGCCCATCCTCCGTGCCCCCACGTGGCCTCTCCCACTGCAATCCCCGGTCCCCTGTCCGCCAGCACTGCTCTCACACACTGACAGCACCAGCCCTGCTCTCATCCGCTGATGACATGGAGTGATTGGGGCCAGCGCCAGCAGTGGGTGTGAGCAACAACTGCTGCCCCAATTGCCCCTCAGGAGCAGGGGAAGGTGGAGAAGCCCTCAAGGGCGATCAGGGCTGGCAGCCACCACTTGCACCCACCAACGGTACCAAGTGTTTGGGGCTGGCACCAGGCACAGGCAGTGGGTGCAAGTGGGGCTGGAGCCAACAGCAGGTACAAGCACCGGGCGGGACTGTGGTGCACAGGAGCGAAGATTTTTCAGTAACCACCAGAGGCTTGCCCTGATGACAGCGACCTGTGCCGGCCTTAGTCTGGCGCCCCTTCTCACTCGCTCCACCATCCAACTGTGGCCAACGCCCACCATGTTCTGTGTGCACCTCCTGGTGGTCAGCGCACATCATAGCGACAGGTTGTTTGGTTGTTCCAATGTTTGATCTATTTGCATATTAGGGTTTTATATATAGAGATTGTATTTAACCCACTAAATTTAAAATGTTATCATTTCAACATCTGCTCAATAAAAATAGAGATATTTTTCATTCTTTTTTTATACTAGATCTTTATAATTCGATGTGTGTTTTGCATTGTTAGCAAACCTCAATTTGAAGTAGCCACAAATCAAATGTTCAAATGCCACTGCACTGTACAGTAGTTATCATATTGCAGTTATAGCTTCATATATTGTAGAGCATGTCCTCCTCACAGTTGTTCCTTAACATCATCATGGCCATTATCTCTGCTTATTCATATACATTTTAGGGTGAGGTTGAACAGAGGAGAACCAGGTTTGGAGATCAATGGCATATTTGTCTCCTCCATTGTATTTCAATAAAGTCATCTACTCTTGTCATTTGCCAGCTGGCTTTGTCTGCTTGGGCTTTTAACTGGAATGTCATTGAATTTATTGATCAATTTAGGAAGAATTGACATTTCTACCTAGTGAATCCTTCTGCTATGAAAATACATTTATATAGGTCTGCTTTTATGTTTTTCAGTAAAGTTTGGTAATATTTTGTTAGGTTAATTTCCAGATAAGTTATAATTCTTATTGCTGGCATGGCTCTTTAATTGCATCTTCTCATTTGTTAATGTTAGTGGATACAAATCAAATGCTTTTAATACATTAAGCACCAAGCCTGTTTTGTCTTCCTTTCTGTTTAGCCCGCCATATCCAATTTCACTGATATGCTGGTGGCACCAGTGACTGACCAGTCCAGATGGAAAGTATAGTGTCAGTCACTGGTGACTGACATGGCGCTTAACGTGTTAATATATTGAAAATGTACTCAACAACTTGGCTAAATTATCTTAGTAGATTTATTTTTATTTTCTTGTCTTATTGCATTGAGAGGGCCTCCAGTCAAATGTCAAATAGAGGCAGTAATAATGGGTTTAGTTTGTTTGTGAGTAGCTGAGACACAAAAATAGCAAGAAGTTAAGACAGAAGCTTATTCCTCAGTTATGTAAAAGTCCAGCATGGCCAGATTAAGGTTAGTATGGCTGCTCTTCCTCATAGCAGTCCTCAGGAGCCCAGGCTCCTTCCAGCTACTGCTTTTCAATCCCATGAGGTTTTCATCCTTGTGGTCTAATATAGCTGCCAGAGCTCTAGCCATCCACCCATGTTACAGGCAGAAAGATGAACAAGGGACAAAGAAGAAAAGGGAGCAAAAGTCATGTTCCAGTTGTCTTTTGAGGAAAATTCCTGGAAACTGCCAATAGTTCACAGGGCTATTGTGAAAGTCAAGTGAGATTAATATGTACTTGGTGAGAAACTAAGATGGCGGCATAGGTAAACACCTAAACTGCTGCCTCACATAACAATTTCAAAACTATCAATAAAAGACAAAACGAACATCATCCAGAACCACAGGTAGGCTGGCTAAGTGGAAATTCTACAACTACCCTGTTTCCCCGAAAATAAGACAGTGTCTTATATTAATTTTTGCTCCCAAAGATGCGCTAGGTCTTATTTTCAGGGGATGTCTTATTTTTCCATGAAGAAGAATACAGTACACATTTATTGTTAAATGAAAATAAAGGAAATTTATTACCTGTATACGGCACAGTAGTACGGTAGTTGTCAACACAAACCAGACAAACTGTGAATCCTACAGTATCAAGAATTTACTCATTTATTCAATGACAATCATGTCATCATCTTCTGGAATATCATCATAACAATCCAATTCCTGAATTTTCTGGTGAATTTCTTGTGACTCCATTTCTTTCAGAATCAGTGGACCAAATCTCTCATGTTTAGCCTAGGGGGGGCCTTGTTTTGGGGGGATGCCTTATATTTTACTCAGAAGGAAACCTGTAAGTAGGTCTTATTTTCGGAGGATGTCTTATTTTCAGGGAAACACGGTATATTTCTGATTATATTTTACTAGAGGCCCGGTGCACAAATTCGTGAATGGGTAGGGTCTCTCAGCCTGGCCGGCAATGGGGACCAATGGGGTTGGCTAGCCAGTGCAGGGGAGGAACCATGGGAGGTTAGTTTTGGGAGCACGCTGACCACCAGGGGGTAGCTCCTGTGTTGAGCATCTGCCCCCTGGTGGTCAGCGTATGTGATAGCTACCAGCCAGTCATCTGGTCATAATGGTTGGTCACTTAGGTTTGTGTGCGTGTATATACATACATATATATATATATATATATATATATATATATATATATATGCCAGAACATATTTTCATGCCTGGTCTCACTTCAAAGGCTTGAGATAAGTCTTTTTAGAGGTGTCCATAGAAACAGAGATTTTATTATAAGAAATACAGGAAACTAGATAATATAGAATAACTGACAGCTTCTGTCACAGTGAGCAACTTTATTCTTGAATCTAAAGGGATACTTTAAGCTTTAGGGTTTTGGTAGGTAATATTATTGAGTTTTTAAAAGTTTCTTCTAAGTAAGCTAGAATTTTTGTTTGTTTTAAAATCATAATTAATGCTGAGTGGTTGTAACTGCTTTTTCTGTATCTATTGAGATAATCCCTTTTTTTCCCCTTCATCTACTAATAGATTTTCTAATATTAAACCACTTCTTGCATTCCTGGATTAAACCAAACTTGACCATGATGCAGTATAAACATTTTATGCATTACTGACATTTTAAAAATTTTTAATAAGATATGGTTAGCCATTTCAAGGGTATAATTCAGAGGCTTTAAGTACATTCATTGTTATACAACCACCACCACCATCCTTCTCTTGAATTTTTAAAATCTTCTCATACTGAATCTCTGTCTTTAGTAAAAATTACTCTCCATTCCTCCCTACATCCAGACCCTGGCAACCACCATTTTACTTTCTGTCTCTATGAATTAGACTACTCTGCATACACTATGTAAGTGGAATCATAGAATATTCACTTTTTAAAAAAATATATTTTATTAATTTTTCACAGAGAGGAGGAGAGAGGGATAGAGCATTAGAAACGTCGATGAGAGAGAAACATCGACCAGCTGCCTCTTACACCCCCCCAACTGGGGATGTACCCGCAACCAATGTACATGCCCTTGACCGGAATCGAACCTGGGACCTTTCAGTCCGCAGACCAATGCTCTACCACTGAGCCAAACCGGTTTCGGCTAAAATATTCACTTTTTTGTGACTAGTCTATTTCACTTATTATAGCAGAAAGTTCTCAAGGTTCATCTATATTGTAGCAATTATCAGAACTTCCTTTCTTTTTTAAGGCTGAATAATATTCCATTGTATATTTATATCACATCTATCATTTGACACTTGGCTTGCTTCTAACTTTTGGCTCTTATGAATAATGTTGCTATGAAATAAATGTAAAAAATATGTATTTCAGACCCTGCTTTCAATTCTTTTGAATATACTAGTTATGTGTATAGTAAATACATGAATTATATTTTTTAAGGAACTGACAGACTATTTTCCATTTCTCACCACAGTGCAAATCAGTTTCAATTTCTCAACATCCTTGCCAACACTTGTTTTTATCTTTTTTTTAAAAAAAATATATTCATCTTAATGAGTGTGATGTGGTATCTCATTGTGGTTTTGACTTGTATATCTTAGTGATTAGTGACATTGAGCATCTTTTTATGTCCGTCCTAGTCATTTGTATATTTTCCTTGAAGAAATCTCTGTTCAAACCCTTTGCTGAATTGAAAATTGGTTTTTTTATTTTTTGTTGTTTGTGAGTTATAGGAACTTTTATATATTCTTGATATTAACCCCTTATCACATATATAATTTGCAAATATTTTCTCCCATTCCATGGTTGCCCTTTCATTCTGTTGATAATATACTTTGGTGCACAAAAGTTTTAAATTTATATGTACTTTAGTGTATCTATTTTTTTCTTTTTCTTTCAATGATTGTACTTTTGGTGTCATATCCAAGAAATTATTGCCAAATCCAATGTCATGAATATTTCCCCCTATGTTTTCTTCTAAAAATTTTATAGTTTTAGCTCTTATGTTTAGGTCTTTATTCCATTTTGTATTAATTTTTGTATATGGTATAAACTAAGAGTCCAACTTCATTCTTAAGCCAGTTTTTCCAACCATGAATTTGGTTCTGATTATATTTTATTTAAGACTTTTGCACCTTGCCCTAGCCGACTTGACTCAGTGGAAAGATTGTCAGCCTGCGGACTGAAGGGACCCAGGTTCGATTCCGGCCAAGGGCACATTCCTGGGTTGCAGGCTCAGTCCCCAGTGGGGGAGTGGGGTGCAGGAGGCAGCTGATCAATGATTCTGATTCTTTCTCATCATTGGTGTTTCTATTTCTCTCTCCTTCTCCCTTCCTCTCTGAAATCAATAAAGAAATATATATATTATTTTTTTTTAAGACTTTTGCACCTGGGAGATACTACTTTGGTTCAACCTCTGGTCCTTTGCTGGAATTTTGTCACCCTCCTCCCTGACATTTAGCTTGGGCTTGATACTCCCATGACAGGATGCTCATTACTTAATAAAGCAGCTTTTCCCCTGGTAAGAACCATTGTTTCTGGTAGAAAAATTCTCTCCCTTTTGAGTACAAACCTTGTAGCATCCATTTGTTGGTCCTGGATTGTCTTCTGGGGCTGTAAGAATAGGTCAGCACTCTTTTAAAGGAAAGTACTTTGATTTCAGTAAATAACACAACCACATGGTGGGCAACTGCATGCTGGGTTTCTAAGGTTCATCACATTCACTCCACAGCGCAATCTATAAAGAGCTCCCATGATTAATTCCTATTTTGCAGATGAAGCAAATAAGGCTTGACGGGTTATAATTTTCACAAGGTCAAACAGTTATGTAAATGGTGCCACCGAAGTTTCAAAGGCAGTGGCTTTGACCACTCTGCACACTGCCCGCTCCTCTTCCCCAATAGACAGCTCAGAACTCTTCTGGATCTTCAATTATTCTCACCCTGTCCCATCTGAGGAAGATTTTAAGTGTTCCGATTAAAGTTGATATCAAGCACAGTTGTTCTTGTTTGGTGCTGTAAGGGTAGAGAACAGAGGGCTCTTTCGCTCCATTGACCTGAGCACACGTCCCTCTAATGGCACATGTGATCGGGTTAGCAGTTTGGGCAGCTGCCACCAAAGAAAACTTCTAAAACTTTATCATGTCTCCTGCTGCTAAAGCAGCTCTCCCCATGCACACTGTCCAGGTGATTTATTTCTAATCAATGTGAAGGACTTTTCTTTCCTCCTCATGAGTTCAAACATCTCTCCAAATCCACCTGGATCTTGATTCTGCCGTTATTTTATAGCTGACATCTGTATAATATCCACTCTGTGCCAGCACACACCTTTCTGTATATTAACACAAATAATCTTCACAACCCAATGGCATCCACACCATCAGCCCCATTTTGCAAAGTAACAGAGCAGTTAAGTAACTCACCGAAGGTCACACAGCTTGTTTATGGCAGAACCAGAATTCAAGCCTAGAAAGTCAGGTTCCAGAATTTGTGCTCTCACCTCTATGCCGTGTTGCCACCAAACATCTGACAATCTCAGACACTTTTCTGGAGCCCAAAAGGTTGACACACTTAGGGACCTCCTTTTTTGTTGTTTTTGTTTTTTAACAAAGAGAGAACAGATCAAGGACACAGAGGCTTTGAAAGATAACAATATTAAGTCAGGATATACTATAGCAGTTTATTTCACTCTGCTTATTTTCCCTTTGGCTTCTACTTATAATACTGGTGTTTCATTTGGTAGTAATAACATTTCCTTCTAAAATAGGTCTAAGTTAAAATAAGTGAGTTGATGTGAAGGAGAGTGTTAATGGCATGAGTGGCTTTCAGATATGACAAATCGTAATGGTCATAGGAATATCTGTGAAGCTGTGGGAAGAACGTGTTCAGGAAAGACAGGTGAGGCTATGTCACAATGACCAAAACAAGCACGTGCCTCCGTGGCTAACACAGAGGACACTTACTGCTCACGTGTGGCACACATCCTCCGGCATGGGCTGGCAGGGCGTTCTTCTCTCCCTACCGACTCCACATCTGTATGTGCTTCCACAACAACCTCAGCACTGGCTCCTAACCCTTCCGCTCAGGTGTGACACCGATGGTTTCTGTTCACACTTCATTGGCCAAGATCAGTCCCATGGTCACATCCAACTTCGAAGGAGGCGAGAAAGGGTAATCCTGCCATGTGCCTGAAAGGAGAGAGGTGGAGTTGAGAACAGCTCACAGAGACCGCGAGCAAAAGAGCCTGAAAGATGGGTCTAGAAAGGTAGGCCAAGTCATGGCTCCTTGGATTGTCCTGTCCCAGCACCTGTTCCCAGAGCAGGTGGTCCAGGAGGGGACAGGCTGACACCACCATCTGTGAAGCTGACACTTCTCCCGGGCAGCACCTCAGGATTTATTTTGATTTCCTAAGTGGGTTCAGCTGAGCTCTGTGGTTAGTTTTCGTTTCTTCCCTGAAGGTAAATGAGGCAGTGTGGGCTTTGGCTGAGCTAAGATTTGGTTCTGTCACTGTTGTGAAGAGATGGCCAAGGATGGGTAATTAGAAAGGAGAGCATTCAAGGATGGGGCGGGGGAGGAGTTCACGGAGAAGGGAGCCTCACCCAGTGCTCGGTTATCTGATTATTGGGAGGCTTGCTGGAGGCGTTTGCAAAATGGGTTCTGAGGGCTCCATGCACCGGAAGCATCTGGAAGCTCATCACACATGTGATGCCTGGGCCCACTGTGGACCCTGGAGCCTAGAGGTGGGACCTGAGGCATCTGATTTTTTTTTTTTAAGATATCCTAAATATATTTTTATTGATTTGGGATAGGAAGGGAGAGGGAGAGAGAGATAGAAACATCAATGATGAGAGAGAATCATTGATCAGCTGCCTCCTGCACGCCCCCTACTGGGGCTTGAGCCCGCAACCCAGGCATGTGCCCTTGACCAGAATCAAACCTGGGACCCCTTAATCTGCAGGCCAATGGTCTATCCTCTGAGCCAAACCAGCCAGAGCCTGAATTTTTAATAATTGACCACAAATGATTCCAATGGACACTGAAAACCGAGACACACTGAATTTAGGGGAGAAAATTTCCTGTAAGCCCAGAGGTCTAACACAGTGGTTCTCAGTCAGGGGTTATTTTGAACTCCAAAGGCCAGATGGCAATGTCTGGAGATAATTCTGGTTGGCATACCTTGGGGGAGCGAGTGCCACAGGCATCCAGAGGGTAGAGGCCAGAGATGCTGCCAAGCATCCTGCCATGCCCAGGACAGTCCAGGCCCCATAACAAAGAATTATTTAGTCCAAAATGTCCGTAGTGCCAAGGTCAAGAAACTCTGCTTAACAAGAGTTGGAGCCTTCCAAATAAAAAGGCACAGATGATTTTTTAATCTTCTCTCTTAATTTTACTTTCCAAAATTTCTACTCTAAGCACAGAATCCTTTTCATTGAAAACATAGTATGCACCAAGCATTTTATGTACATTATATCAGTTTTTCCTAAAAAATCTTTTCAGTCATTCATCCAACAAATATTTATTAAGCACCTATTATGCATTTAATTTAATTTTTAAAAATTTTTTATCCATTTAATTTTAAACTGTTCAAGGTGTGGGGTGCACCCTGGGGAATACAGTAGACAAGAATCTTCTCCTTAATGGGGGCAGAAGAGATGTATAAAAGCCCTGAGACAGGAAAGAAAAAACAAAAGCTAGTGTGGCTGCTAGTGTGGGGTGGGGTGTGTGAAGTGAAATTGGGTTGGAGATGTAGAGATACAGAAACAAGGTTAGGTAGGCCTCAGTCCATGGAAGACTTGGATTTTCTGAGTTTTGTTATAAATGCATAGGAAGCTGTAATCGTTTAAGAGAGGGACCTGATCCAATCTGTTTTATAAGATCATCCCTGGACTCCGGAAAAGAATGGGCACAGGGCCCAGAGGGGAGGAAAAAGAGAAGTGAACAGACTTTTACAGACCTGGAGAGATGATGGTGTTGTGGGCAAGGCTGGCTGTGGTGGAGATGAAAATTTGAGATATTATTAGAGGTGGTAAGAACTGGATTTCTGATGTGTTGAGAGGGATGAGAGGAAAGAACCAAAAGTAGTGACTCCAGGAGTTGGGCTTGAATAACTGAGATGGGGTGGGGTGATGGAATATGACAGTTAATGTAGATATTATTATTAATATTCTCTTTTTAAAATATTTTTATTTTTATTTTAGAGAGGGAGAGGGAGAGAGAAATAGAAACATCCATGGTGAGAGAGAATCATCATCGATCAACTGCCTCCTGCACGCCCCACACTGGGCCCCAGAGCCAGGCATATGCCATGACCAGGAATAGAACTGTGACCTTCTGGTTCATAGGTCAATGCTCAACCATTGAGCCACACTGGCCCATCTTTAATATTATCTTTTTAAGACTAAGGAAGAGAAGTGAATTGTCCTACTTTACGAAACTAATAAGTGGACTCAGATTCAGTTGTCTCTAACTCCAAAGATCATAATTTTCCCAGTCTTCCGGACCCACACATTAATCTTTATAATAGTAATATGAAATTTTAAGATATATAAATATCCCTGAATGCAAACGAGGGATTCCACAGGGGCCAGCACAAAACCTGGGGCCCTCTTTTAAAGGCACTTGCACGTTGCAAACGGATGTGGGGAATATAAATTTCGTAGATGGTGGAATACAGCGCGGTACCGCCACAGGGAACCGGTTTTAAACTCTTGCCTTCTTATAGGTGTAGTGGCCAGGTGTTGGTGTGTGACACGAGGTAAATTGGCTTTCGCTAACTAAACCCAGTGAGTTGTGTTGACCTGCCTTCCGCTGAGTTTGGAGTGAGTTGTCTGAGGTTGGCGGGATTGTAATGCAACTTTCACTCTGAATGGTGAAGCTCCTGTGACTATTTGCTTCTGAGAGCCAGTTCCTGTGTTGGCCACTAGGAGGAGCCCAAGACGCTCAAAGCGCGGCGCTGCGGTGCCTCTGGGCTGCTTTCTGATGGACGCCCTTGGGCTTTGCGCGGCGTCCCAGGGCCACTGTGAGACAGGTGGCCACGCTTCTTTGCACAGCCCCTACGGCCCCTTCGTCTGGCTCTCAGCCCCGCACAGGACATTGGCTGACCGAGGGGTGGGGCCGCGAGCTCGCGAAGGTTTGTGAAGATCCAAGTTACAAAATTGTGGAGTCTTGTCAGGTGAGACTCAGCAGCTCCCCTCCCTCTGCTGCCCCTTCTGCTTGCTTTTGAGCCCTTCCCTCAAGTGTAACAGCCTCCACAGCGCCCTTTGAGGTCCTGAAAGGACTTCTACACAGTAGTACCACACCGGAGCTTAGAACTGTCCCATGAGGACAAAGGCCACTAGCTCAGAGACCACCCTATGCAGAGATACTCCCTACAGTCCCCAGGCACTGTAACACCCAGCATTTGAAATTCGTCTCTTTTTTAATGGCTTGCATACCATCTCCACTGTGCCTCCCCGCTGAAAGTAAGTTCTGTGGAGGGGGGAATAGGATGGCCAGATCCAGTACAGAACACCCAGTTACCTTTGAACTTGAGGATAAACAACAAGAGTTTGAAGTATAAGAGTGCCCCAGGTGTTATTTGGTCCATGCTTATCCTAAAATAATTATTCATTGCTTATTTGAAATTCAAATTTAATTGGGCATCCTGTATCTTTATTCGCTCAAACATCCACAACAATGCACATGGAAGGGGCTGGATAAATGTTGAAAGACTGGACGGACAAATTCCTTCCTTCCTTCATTTATTCATCCAACCCGCTGAGTTCCAGCTAGCTTCTGGGAATATAAGGGTAAAAGAGAAAGGGACAGACAAATAACCAGAACCACCGCTGGATTACACTTCGATGATGTAAAGCACTGGGGACTGTGGGAGCACAGAGGAGGACCCTGCCGAAGCCAGCAGGACTGCCCGGAGGAAGATGGCTAAGATGGGACTGAGAGGATGAGAATGTGAAGAAAGAGGTGGGACAGCTGCTCTAGGCAGAAGGCCTGACATGTGCAAAGGCCAGAGACAAGGGATGGGGGCAGCTGTGCAGTGCAGCTGAGGCTCAGGAAGAGGCGAGGAGACTCACACTCAATGAGCATCAGTGCTCACCAGTCAGGCACAATCGGGATTGTGCCCGTTGTGTGGACGAGGAAATCGAAACTCAGGGAAGTGAAGTGTCTGGCCTGGGGCTGCAGTCTGCGTGGGAAAAGCTTAGCTTCTAACTCAGGCCTGGCAGACGCTGAAGCCTGCCCTCTTCTAGGAAAGCCTCTGGGTTAAGCATTATCGCCCCAGTTGGAGAATGACGAAGCCAAGGCCCAGAAAGGTGATGGGGTCCTCCCTGTGAACGCGGCTCTGCCCGGTTTAACAGGACAACACGTTGGCAGTGTGAATCGGGAGGTTTATCTCACACACTCTCCAGAGAGACAACGGGAGGGCTGGGCAGGACCCAGGAGTCCAGGCCACGGTCTCTCATTCCTGTTTGGGTTGGGCCTCTACTACCCCCTTGCTCAGCTCCGTGGCTAATTCCTTGCATGGGTCCTGGGCGGGTCTGCAGTTTCCATGGGACCGCCTCCCACCATCCCTGAAATCTCACTGTGACCAGTATTAAGAGATTAACTGTCAAGCAGCCCTTACAGGGTCCAGGGTGCCAGTGCGGCAGTGGGAGGATGAAGCGGTGGCCCACCGTGCGGGACCCCAAAGCTCCAGAAGGACGATGTCGGCCTGGGGCCAGGGCTTCCCTCGGGACCCACCAGGTATGGTCCCAACTCCATTTTTAAAAATATATATTTCATTGATTTTTTACAGAGAGGAAGAGAAAGAGATAGAAACATCGATGAGAGAGAATCATCAATCAGCTGCCTCTTGCACACCCCTCAATAGGGATGTGCCCGCAACCAAGGTGTATGCCCTTGACCGGAATCGAACCTGGGATCTTTCAGTCCATAGGCCGACGCTCTATCCACTGAGCCAAACCGGTTTCGGCTCCACTTTTTTTTTTCTTTTTTTTTTAAATATATATATTTTATTGATTTTGTACAGAGAGGAAGGGAGAGGGATAGAGAGTTAGAAACATCGATGAGAGAGAGTCATCGATCAGCTGCCGCTTGCACACCCCCTACTGGGGATATGCCCGCAACCAAGGTACATGCCCTTGATCAGAATCGAACACGGGACCTTTCCGTCCCCAAGCCGATGCTCTATTCTAGGGGTGTCGAACTCAATCAGAGAAGGGGCCAAAATCTAAAATCCAGCCTAAATCGCGGGCCGAATGGTTTACTGAACAGTCATAAACTGTCATTGTGATGGAAACGCAGCGGAGTGCAGTGATGACAGCGCGGTGCGGGCCACACTGCAAGGCCTGGCGGGACGGATTTGGCCCGCGGGCCTTGTGTTTGACACATGTGCTCTATTCATTGAGCCACACCGGTTTCGGCTTGGCTCCACTTTTAACTGCAGAGGAGGATGAGGATGGGAGAGAGAGACAGGACCAAGGGGAGGAGTCTAGATTTGGAGCAGGGCAGAGACCCTGTACCCCTAGCCCCCACCCCAGGAAGGCCCAGGGCCCAGAGGGGCCCACCCTGCTCCTAATCAAGGCAGGATTCAGATTTCCTCAACGAGGTAAGGAGAGCCTCGTGGTCTCTTAAGAGTGCTCCAAAACTAAAGACCAGCTACCCAATCTTCCTCACTTTTGCTTTGGGGAAATTGAGGCACAGAGCGAGAAAGAGATTTCTCCAGGGTTAGTGAGTCAGCAAACCAAAGCCGATCAGGAATCCCGAGGGAGCCCTGGGGTAGCCTGAGAGGAAAACATTTGCTCAAAATGTCCCCTCCTCCCTGAACCCCAACTCCTCCTCCTTGACTTGTAGGAATAGGGTCCCCTCAGTCTTCTGTGCCCTGGGCCTGTCCCATCAGCCATGCCTCCCTTCCCTCTCTGCCTCCCCCTGCTACCCACCCCTGCCACCAGCACAGCCTGAGGCTGGCAGAGTCCCCTGGAGGCTGCACTCTGCAGGAGGCCACGGCCACCAGGCCCCAATGGTCCCATCGGGGGGACATCCCCTCACTGGGTTACTATCTGGATGACTTTATAAACATTTCGATCTCCTGCTTCAGCCCCTCTGACTTTGGTGCCCAGACACAGTGGGGGCCCTGACAGCCCACCCCCACCCACCTCCTGCCAGGGCTGCCTGGGAGAAGTGTGGGCTCCAGAGCCCACTGTCAGGCTTCCTGGAAGGCCACAGTGGGGCAGGGGGAAAACACCGTCTCTGGAGCCGGGGAGAGCGCTCAGACACCACTGACAGCAGGCTGAGCCTCCGTTTCCTCACCTGGGAAGGGGGCAAGAACACTTTCTCAAAGCTTGCTCACAAATGCTGTGGGAGAATCTGCAAGCTCTCCTGTTAAATGAGCAAGAAAGGTACAGAACCGTGTTTGGGGTGCGGGCGATGCTGCCTCAAGAAAACCTGGAGAATCACAGGAGAGGAAGAGAAGGGTTACCTCTGTGAAGAGGGGAGGGGACTGGAGGACAGGCCACGGGGGAGGAAGCAAGACTTCTCGAAGTGCATCTTTGATATTGTTGTGATTTTTGAACCACGTAAACTATCAAATCGTCATCATCGCACATACCTCAGTAAGATGGCAGGTGTGTGGCCAGGATGGAGACCCATACACTAGGATTTGATTAAAGGAACAGAGAAAGCCTAATCCAGAAAGTCTCTGGATTCTTGTGCCCTTTTCAGTCAGTCTCATGTTGCCAGTAGCAAAATAATGGCCATGGGTACTGTGGACCAGAGCTTCTGTCTGAACGTCCTCTCACTGAACTGGCAGAGGAATCTGCTGTCATTCCCATTTTGCAGATGGGCAAACTGAGACGCACTGAAGTTGCAACCAGTAAGTTGTTGAACTTGAATGCCCAACGAGGCCTTTTCTGCTCCAGATTTCAAGCCCTCCTACAGTGGGTCTCAATCTTGGCTGCATATCAGAATCACCTGAAAGCTTTAAAAAATACTGATACCTCAAGCCCACCCACCCCATCCCAAGATTTGATCATTGGTCTGTGGTGGAGCTTGGACATCGGTATTTTTTAAAGGCCCCAGGCAATTCTAATTCACTGTCAGGGCTGAATCTCTGCTTTATGCTAGACAACTTTTCAAATGGGAAACCAAGACCAGGGCGGGAAATAACCTAGTCCAAGGTCACATAGTGGCTGGAAATAGAGCCGGGGCAGGCCTGACATGGAGCCCCTGGGCAGGCAAATCCCCCTGGGCACTTGGCTTGGTAAGTGGCAGAAGGCTGGATTTCACCTCCATTTGCCGCCTTAGCCAGAGAACCTTTGTGCAGTGAGCAGCCGGTACCCTATATGCAGTGACCCTGCTCTGCGTCTCAGGATTCCCAACCACTTCACTCCAGCCACCTCCTGGAGCTCTTCAGAATAAGGGTGCAGGGAGACCAACGGTGTTGTGTGGGATGTGGGTTCACCCCTCACTCCAAGAGCCAGGCAGGGACTCCCCATCATCCTTCAGGGCCCCAGAGGCTGGGCAGGCCCCATCTAACTCCCAAGGTCACTTCTGCAGATAAAGTCAGGATCATAACCAGGAGAGAGAAACATAAACAGGATAGCAACAGCCTCAGCTCAGAAGTCACAAGCCACCTGGCAGGAGACCGCCTGTGGGGAGGCCCCGCCCACATAGATCCAAGTCCTCCTGGCTTCCTTCCTGACCATTTTCCAGACCACATTCTCTACCCTGTGTCTCCCACAATGCCCTGCTCTCTGGCCACGGCAGCCTCCATGCCCTCCCACCATCACCCACTGTGTCCTCCACTTCTGGACATTTTCTCTGCCCAGGATGCTGCCTTCTCCAGGAACCCATCCCCAACCACCCCAGCACAGAGACTGTCTTTCTCCTCCCGCCTTCCAGCCCAGGCATAAAGCCCACATGTGTCTTGGGATGGAGATTCTCTTATCCTCCCACTGGACACTCGTCACTGAATCACTTACTGTGAACCAGCCCTGGAAGGGTAGGGTGGCCTTGGAGCTAGGAACACAAACTCTGGAGCCAGACTGTTCGGGTTGGAACTCCAGCCCATAAGCAGTGTGAGCTTGGCATAGGACTCAACCTTTCTGTGCCTCCGGTCTGGGTGATAGAAACATCACCTGCCTCACAGAGCGGCAGTAAAGATTAACGAGTTAACACATGGAAAGCACTCCCGCTCTCTCCCCCACTAAAGGCTTTAAGAACATCGGCATGATTATCATTGCCTACGTCTCAGTCCACTTTATCCTCACAACAACCCAAGGAGTTAAGGACTGTTATGCCCAGCTTACAGATGAGGAAGCTGAGGCACAGAGGGGTTGTCAGGGTGGCGCTCTGCATCTTCCTCTGTGGCTGATGCCTGCGGAGAGAGGACGTGGCTAAACGAGTTGTAACTTGGAGCCCCCGGTTTCAGCTCGTGGCTGCTCCTTGAGGACCCACAGGACACAAAGCCAGGTGAGTTCCCCTGACACAGGCCTTCCGGTTGCTCTCAGGCACACCCTGACCCCAGCCAGCCCTGGGAGGGAGGGTGAATTGTGGAGGAGGGCCTTTTAGTACCGTTTGTTCACTAATATCCAGATTGCATCACTGCGTCCCTGTCTTCCCTATCCTAGCTGGAGATCCAGGACACCTGGGGTGACCTGTCCTTGCACAAGTCGCTTCCCTGCTCTGGCCTCCAGCTCCCCATCTGTACAATGGCCGAGGGGATGAGTCTGGACCAGCCGTCTTCCAGTTCTCATTACGTAGCCAGCTCAACCTTTCAGATGGGTTCCTGAGGCCCAGCACCCCCGAGAGGCAGGCACTGGGTGAAGCAGGGCCTGTGCACTCGCTCCTGGGGACCTCAGAGCCCACTGTGAAAGGCGCAGGCCACCTCCTCCTGCAGGCTCTCCTGGCTCTGACGCTGCAAGATTCTCGAATCCCAAGCTCAAAAGCTGCCGCTCGCATGGACAGCGTCCCCCCAGCTGCTTTTATCTCTCTTTGGTAACAGAGCAAATTTGCTCAGGACCCAGAACAGGGGAACAAGCAAACTGTTGACTCTGAAGCAAAACCTCCCCTTTGGAGGGCAGGCAGAGGATGTGCGTGGGGAGGCCGGCGGCCTCTTGCATAACCCGGGCGGCCTCCTGCCCACCCCGATCTTTTCAGGGTTAGGGGTGAAGCAAACCGCAAACTCATGCCCAGTTAATTTTTTAAGGCAAAATCAACAGGCCCAGCAATGATTAGCAGGCAGGTAAGTTCGTCTTAATTGTGCTGAGGACAGGGAGGAAGGAGGCTCCTGGAGGCCCAAGGATGGGGCTCAGTTATCAGTTAACCACATGAATGTTGTTTCCTTCCAAACCCACTGGCCTTCAGCCCCTCATCCCTCATCCTCCTCTCGTGGCAACCCAGTGGCCACCAGTCACTGAGTGAACACTCACCGCCATCCCGGGTCTGCAAGAGGTAGAACCTTGTGGGCTGTGATGGATAAAAGGAGTCCTCCTAGAGCTGGTGGATTCTTGTTAAGGCAAAGCTCCCCCACTACAGCTATGTAGCCTTGAGCATGTTTCCTCCACCCTGTGGGGCTTAGCGAGGGGCCGGGTCTGTGGCTCAACCTGCAGCCACTCCCCTGGGGCTCAGTGTCCCCGTCCACCAAATGTCTCCAAGTTCTGCGAGGTCATAATTAGATTATGTCCACGTGACCTGTCCCCGGGGGTGAGGAGGGTGGTCAGAGCAGTGTTTTAGGAGTCTAGGGGGGCAGAAAAGATGCCCAGGAGAGGGAAGGTGCCTACCTGATATCTGCTGTCGGTGCCAACAAGCATCAGATCCCAGCTCCAGGCAGAGGGCTCCTCTCGGGTGCGAGGCAGGGGTCCCTGTGGGGTGGGATGGAGCCGCAGGAATGGCCTGGCGGGCCCCCTGGGACAGGATCTCTTCCCCTCCAGACCTTGGGAGCTGCCAAAGGAAGCAGCCCCAGGCCTGCTGGCTGCCTGGACTGGAGTTTGGTCAGTGGTTGGGGACCTATATTGTGAGAAACTTAGGACTTTGTCCACAAACTGGAATTTGAAATTTCAAAGGGGCGAAACTGAAGGGCCCTACCCCAGAGTGGAGATGGCTCTTGGCTTCTTTCCCCCACGACTTTTGTTCTTTGTCTTGATAAGTCCCTGGTTCCCGCACCATGAGCAGGGGGTGGGGAGAAGAAACGGGAGATAGCAGGTGGTGAGCACCCAGAGGACGCAAAGGTGCCGGCGGCCAGGGGACATGGGGGCTGGAGGATGCCCCTGAACTTGTACATGCCAGGGACGGGCTCTGTGGCTTCTCAGGTCTCTGGGCTCCTGGCAGGGACCGGACAGTGGGCCCGCCAGCCCAGTGCGCCAGAATTCTGAGGTTATTTTGTGGGGCCCCTGGACAGAGGCGGCAGGTAGGGGTTGGAGCCCTCAGCTCCGGAGTCATACTAGAGCTCAAATCACGGCCCCTCTTGTCATGACCTGTATGGCCTTGGGCAAGTCACATCACCTCTCAGAGTCTCTGTTTTGTCATCTGTGAATGGAGAACAGTGTAAAGTTCTCAGCTCTGGGCCCAGCACAGACTCCCCAGAAACATCAGCCATTATTATCATTTAAAAGAAAAATACTGAGCCTTGAGCCACTGTCCACACCAGATGCCTGAGCACCCTGCCCACGGCTGGGTCTCAGCAGTCCTTCCCCAACACCCGGCCACCCAGGGCGACACTAAGAGACCCCCCACCCCCCTCCATCCCAAGGCCTTAGTTTCTCCTTTGCTGTTGCATGTTGAGCTGGGGTCTGAGGGCCCGAGGGGGCGGGGCAGAGGTAAAGAGGGCTGCTGAGGAGCATTTGAGATCTTGATCCCTGGCATATGTCAGCAGTTTGGCTCAAATAAACTCTTATAAAAAATGTTAATAAAAGAAGGGCTGCTGAGTTGATGGCGTGAAGGCCAGGGTTTGTTTAGGGCTGGGCATGCCATCGCTAGCAGCGCTTCTGTGCAGGGGCCCTCGTTATGTGACCAGTGGGTCAAGAGTCAACCACCAATGACAGCACTTGCTACTGTCGCACTATAGGCCTACACTTGGCCATTATAGCCCAACTGTCACTGTGAAGAATGTATCAACCTACTCATCGAATGCCAAAACGAAGGCTGAGTGAGGTGGAACCTGACGTCACAACGTTTGGGAAGCTGGCAGTGCCTGGATTTTGACCCAGGTCTTTCTGGTTTTAAGATCTGTGATTGGGGTTTGGGCGGGGCCCGAAGGTGGGACTAGCAACCTTATAGTAGTATCTCATTTAATTGTCACAGCAAACTACAAGTTAGGCCCATTTTACAGAAGGAGAAACGAAGGCGTCAAAAGAATAACTTGCCTGAGACCACAGAGCCAGTAGATCTTACAGGTGGTGGATTGTTTATATGAGAAAACATGTATGAAGAGTACGTTGTTTGGCATCAGCTAAGGGTGGGGTAAATCATCTATGTAATAGGTTATGTAAGTTATATGGTTCAGGAGTGGGTAGATTTACTTTTTGGGTACATTGTGATGGGTAGGATATGTTTGGGACATGAAATAGGTTTCAGGAATGTACCTCATACTAGGGGTGTCGAACTCAATCAGAGAAGGGGCCAAAATCTAAAATCCAGCCTAAATCGTGGGCCGAATGGTTTACTGAACAGTCATAAACTGTCATTGTGATGGAAACGCAGCGGAGTGCAGTGATGACAGCGCGGTGCGGGCCACATTGCAAGGCCTGGCGGGACGGATTTGGCCCGCGGGCCTTGTGTTTGACACATGTGTCATAGACAGTAGGTCATATGTTGTACATTTGGGAGAGTGTGTATGCCATGGTTTGTATACTTAGCTGCTTGTCATGTGCAGGTTGTCTACCTGGTAGTTCTTGTATGCAACCAGTCATGTAAGTGGCATGACATGGCTTACCCTAGTTGATCATAGACCTTATTGAATTTGATCTAAGATGTCAAGTATAGAGACTGAAAGACTGTTATGTTTGTTACCAATTAAACTCTGACATGCCAACGATCACAGTCCACTTTTGGAAATGTGGAATGTGCCTCTTTTTTTTTTTTATGAGAGTTTCATAACTTTATTCAACAAACAGCAGTTAGTTCTCAGCCACATTAACTGTAGGTTTTTGAAAATGGTGAAGGTACATAGGTGACCAGGGTATGCAGCTAGTTTGGTGAATCTTCAGCCTCATTACGTTTTCTGGACAAACGTACCCAGATACGATATGGGCATTCCTTATTCCTTTGGCCCAGACAGAGTTGTTCAGCCTGGCGTCCATACACACGTCTGGGGTCCCCACCCCCTTCATGGCAAAATTCCAGGCCTCTTGAAACCCATGTAGCGGATGCGCTTGTGGATGTGGATGGTGTGCTCTCTGGTCACCACCGCATTGATGGCGGAGCGGCCCTTCTTCTCGCCACCCTTCTTGGCGGGAGCCTTTGTGCCTGGCAAGTTGGAAAGACTGGAATGTGCCTCTTGTGTGTAGCATGTGCTGCTAGATTATGAGAGGAGTCGCTGTGTGTGGCTTGTCACAGGTGCCAGACAGGTGGCAGGACTGGAGTCAGCCCTTGGAGCCCCCCCACCAGAGTTGCCCCTCCTCTCCTTTGTGCTAATCCCTCAGTCAGGTCTCCAGCCCAGCTCAGCACTGCCCCGAGGCCACTGGAGTCAGGATCAGATGCCCCTGGTGAGACCCATCAGTAGTTGAAATTTTCTTCAGGTCCTGATGGGCCCCTCACAGTGTGGGATGTGGTGGGGGCACGCTCTCTCTCTCTCTTGGGTTCTTACCCCGATATAACAAGTGGGCCAGGATCTGCTCCCATTCTGCAGTTCGGGAAATTGAGACCCTGAGAGAGAGGTGACTTAAACGAAGTTATCTGAATGGTGACAGAGCTCCTTCCTACACTCAGGTCTCTCCATCGCAAACCCAGCCTCTTCTCCTTCTGAACAATTGCTCTCCCCACCTCCCACCCCAGTTATCTCAGCTCCGAGAGAACAAAGCTACGCAGGGCAAAGAGAAGGCTTTTAATAATTGAAAGAATATGAGGAGGGTGCCTCCACACCCCCTCAAACATGCACCGCCTCACCCACTGATTTGCCTGCGCATTAATTCATCCATTTATTTACTCATTTACTCATTAGTTCCCTCTTTTACTAATTCACCCACTCATTAATTCACTCATTCACACATGAATTCACCCTGTCTGTAATTCACTCGCTCTTCCCCCCCCCTCCCTTTTAAATTGATTTCAGAGAGAGGAAAGGAGAGAGAGAAATATCAATGATGAGAGAGAATCATTGATAGCTGCCTCCTGCATGCTCCCTACTGGGAGTGAGCCTGAAACCCAGGCACCTGTCCTGACTTGGAATTGAACCCTGACCTCCTGGCTCATGGGAAGATGCTCAACCACTGAGCCACACTGGCTGGGCAAATTCACTCACTCATTTGTTCACCCACCCACTCATTCACTCACCAATTCACCCACTCTCACTAATTGGCTCTCTCACTAATTCACCCTCTCTTAATTACAGTTTTAAAAAATCCTACCACCTTAGTCCTTTCTGCTGAAAGAGGGTAGGCTCCCAGGCCTCCCTCCTTCTACCTCTGCCCAGTGATTTCCACCTTCCACTTTGCAACCTTGCCTCCCAAGCTAGATTGGGAGCTCATGGAAGTGTCTGTGGAGAGGGTAGTGAGGAGTGGAAGTGTGAGGAGAAATGGATGAGCCATGAGCTGAAGGCAGGCAGGTGCGGCTGCACCATGTTCAGGGCCCAGTCCAAAATGAGAAGGCAGGGCCCTGTGGTCAGAAATTATTAATAATTTCAGCAACAGCAGAGCATTAAACCAAGCCCGAGACCCAAGTGTGCAGCGGCTCAGGTGGCATTCCCACAATGCCCACTCCAAAGGAAGGAGATGGGTGGAGAGGAACGAAGAAGACAAGAAGGGGAGTCAGGGAGCAGAAGGCAAGGACACTTGCTAGTCTCCGTATGGTGCTTTATGAATGCCATCTCAACATTCACACCACACTCGTGGCTGATTGAGCCTCAGTTTCCTCTTCTATAAAATGCATTTTACCCAAAATCATTCACCCAAGGTCACGATTAATAGGTGGTAGGTATCTGACTGTAAATCCAAGTCTGTAGGCCACAAACCTTGTCTCCGCCTGTTCTGGGGAGAGGAAGGAAACCAGGAGGATGTGATGGGGAAATGGGAGATGGAGTGGGTCTGGGCCTGAGCATGCTAGCTGGGCGCTGTGGGGCAATGGTGGCCAGAATGGGGTCATGAGGAGCAGGGGAGGGGAGCCGGCGGCGAGTCCGCCCCTACCAAACTGCCTACCCATTCTGCCCCTAATGGAAGTAGGAAATGGGAAAGGAGCTCCCAGGATGAGGATCCAGAAGACTGGTGTCGGGAGCCATGAGGCAGCTTTATCTGAAAGAGCATGAAGGGTGAAAGTCATTGGTTTGGGAAGTCATTGAATGTGGGCACCTTGGTGGTGGGCTCTCCGCCCCAGCGTATCAGCTGGCATGTCCTACTCGGAGTGGCAATGACTTGGAGGGTGGCCGAGTCAGAGGGTCAAATAAGAGCCGATGAGCCAGGCTCTCTCCATCTTGCAGAATCAATAACTGAATATTGGTAAGGCCCCACCAGTTGTAACAGCAACCCTGGTGTCAGCCAGAAGCCAACAAACAGCCAAATCCCTGCGGCCCCGCCCAGACTATCCACCGGTGGGGGAGCCGATTAACCATTAACCCCCACCCCTCCCTGGCAGAGCCTCCACCCCTTCTCCGAGGCTAGGCCCAGACTCCAGGAGATCCTCCCAGAGGACAGTCTGAAAGGCAGGAAGGCAGAGAGCGCACCTGGGAGGAGGCAGGGGGAGGGTGAAGGGCGGGGGCCGGCTCGGCCTGCAGCCTTCCGGGTGGGCATCCTGGGCAGGGCAGGCGGCTGAGGAGCGGAGGGGGAGGATGCGCCTCTCCAAAACCCTGGTCGACATGGACATGGCCGACTACAGTGCCGCGCTGGACCCAGCCTACACCACCCTGGAGTT